TTAATCGTTCCAGTGAGCTTCAAGTCTGCTGAATTAGCAGCGGTATTGTAAAACGCGGTGAGTTAGTTATTTTAGAGAGCCTCGTAGTTAGAATCTTGTCTTTACTTTCTTTTCAGGTTATTATTTTTTATTTGACTGCCGAGTTGGCACAGTCTGTGAGCGTCAAGAGCACGCAATTGTAATTTATTACGTTGAATAAAAAGGGACTTAAACCCTTCACAAGACTCTGTCTTTTATACAAGTTTTCACAGTCACCTCTTGGTTGCGTGCAAGTTGGAGGCGCGCAACGTTAAAGAATTTTTACAAAAAAACAGAAATATGAGAAAAGTTGGTTTTTATTCACTGAGAATAGTCAAAGTGAAAAATTATTTATAGACATCTCCTTCAGTTTTACCGCCTGCGTCTTCAACTTCAAGAGGATAAAGTCTTTGGTAGGGTCTTAATAGTTCGCCTTTCATAATTTTTTTGCGAGCAACACGAGTATTTTGGTCTTCTCCGGGATAAAGTTCAAGTATTCTGCCCATAGGCCAGTCTATTCGTTTGCTGTTGTCACTTCCAATGAGAACAACTTGACCTACTCTAAGGGAGGTTGGGTGTTTGCACTTGGAGTAAGATTTCAGTTGACCCAGGTATTCTATCCGAAATCTCTTCATCAGGTCTTGTTTAATTTTTTGACGATAACGAAAACATTTTATTAAATGACTCGAATCGAAAACATCTAATTCAGGTAGAAATTCAGTACGTATTTCTTGTAAAAATAAAGATGGGGGTTAAAAAGGTTGTAGGTCTTCAACATCCTCTGACAGATAAATCAAGGGACAGCTATTGATTATGTATTCTGCTTCACATAAAATGTTCGAAAGCTCATCATAATGTAGTCGAGCTCGTCCCAGATTTCTTTTTAAGATTCTTTCAGTCATCCCAATTAGTCGCTCCCACCATCCGCCCCACCAGGCGGTGGTAGGAGGGATGAAAATCCACTGAATTGGCTTAACTGAAGCAAATTCATGTACCTTTTGCCATTCTATTTGATGGAAAATATTTTTAGTTCCCACAATATTTGTACCGTTATCAAAATAAACATACAAGGGTATTCCTCCTCTCGATACAAATCTTCGAAATGCTTAACAAAAGGTTTCTGTGCTCAGTGATTGTACTAACTCTATGTGCACTGCTCGAATCACAGCGCATGTGAAGAGAACGAACCAAGCTTTATCTCCATTTCTTAAGTATAATGGCTCTCCTAAATCAATTCCTGTTATTTCAAATGCAGCTGCACTCTTTACACGATTTTCTGGCAAAGGGGCAGGCATAACCGCAGCGTTGGTAACTTCAAATCTTCTATAATTTTTGCAATACCTTAAACTTCACGAACGGGTTTTCTACATCTTAATATTCAGAATTTTTCCCTCAGTTGAGCCATTAACGTATGTACTCCAGCATGGCTCAATCTTCTATGATGTTCCAAGATAAGCAAATGAACAACTGGAGTCATCACATTGTATGAGACGTGTAATAACACGAATTAAACCATCTTCATCAAGTTGAGGATATAAATATTTTAAAACGGGATTAGTTATTGAGCCAAAAGCTTCTTGCTGTATGCTTTTTAGTAATATCAGTTTAGCTTGTTCTATTTCCTTGACAGTCAATTCTTGATAGAACCGTTCTAACTTAGGCTTCTTGGCATTTGCTATAAAACGTTTCAACCAGGCAAACATTCTAACCATCTTCGAGCAGGAAGAAAACCTATTGTGGTACCAGGGTATCTCCTTTTTAGTATTGATCATGGCCGTCTTCCTTCTCTCTTGATTTAAACTTTCTTCATCAGCTACGATTTGAGATTTTGGCCATTCCTCTGCTGGAGATTCTAACCATTCTGGCCCTTGTAACCATCTTGATTCAATAAGGTATCTAACAGAACTTCCTCTAGACGGAACATATTTTACTTCCCGGAACATGATGCCAGTCATCAGAGTGAGACAGATCTCTTATTTCCTGTGTCCTATTAGCGGCAAACTTTGTCCAATGCTCATCTCGTTCGATCCAACTTAAGGCATTGCTAGAATCCGTCCAGTAATGTGTTTCAAGATCAGGTCGTTTTAAATCTGTCTTCACGTTAGCAGCTAAACGAGCAGCAATCAAAGGAACCTTGTCTCTTTGCCTTATCTCTTTGCTCGTAAATAGATGTTGACGCTGGGAAGGCTGTCTTTTTAAATCCAAAAAGCTACTAAAAGTTTACGCCATTTATATTTTAAAACACACTCAGACTCAATACAAGAGACACTTGACGAAAAAACAACATAGCAATAAATCAAAAAAGAAGTTAGAGTCCTCCAAGTTTCTGGCCATGCGAAGATGCCCGAAGTTTAAATTGGCAGCTCTCCATTCTATACTGTGGGAGTTGCAAAAATCTACTTATCTGACACGTAGTTCCAATCTAAGTATCTATAATATTTGTTAATAATGTGTTGTAATAATATAACTTACAGAATTTAAGCTCAGGGCTACATAAAAATATAGAAATAATGATTTTTAAATAAAATTTCTTTTTGGAAAACTATTTTTAGCATTTTCCTGATGACTGTGCCAAATGTGATACAGAAGCTGTGTTTATTTATCGTTACTTTCACAATTTTATATTTCCTCTTTAGTGTTTGCATCAGTTTTGAAACACATAACAAATAATTTCTGGTTTGTATCACAATTATTACTGTCAATAAATGTCAACCTATATTGTAAGGAATCCTTATTGCCTGTCTTTGTGGTGTAATTGGAAGCACGTCTGTCCAGCAGTTAGAAGGTTTGGCATTCGAATCGTGGCGAAGATAAAGATGATATTTTCACATTTTCTTGCACCAAAAATTTTTAAATGTTTTTGCAAGTGGTGCGCAAATTAAATCTTTCACTATATAGACTTGGCGACTGGGTCCCCTTTGAGTCAGTCGCCCTTTAATTGGGGAAGAACATAAAGAGACTAAAATTAAATTTCTCTTTCTTTATCGCTTGCCTTCAATCGACCACCTGGCAATTAAGAAGTTCAGAGTTCGAATCTCGGCAATGGCATTACTGAATTATCTTGTTGTTCGCTTTGACAAACCTAACAGATTCTATAAGATCAATTACCTTATAAAGTTCAGTAATTTTCTTTAGTATCATTAAGTATAATGAACCTTTAGATAGACTAGCAACGAATTATCGCTAAGTAATAACTGAAACTTGAGAAGGGTGTAAAACACCCTTTATTTAAAACTAAGTAAGAACAGACGGCACTCTTAGTGCTTACAACTCAGCCAACCACTTGTGGCGAGATTACTTAAAGTAACATTACGTCAAATGTAAAATTTAATTTAAATAAGCTAGTAACCCAAGATCAGTTGACAGAATTAACACTACAGAGAAACACGAAGATGGCTCAAAGTTTAACTGCCATGGATATTCAACTACCGGCAGTTGTAATGCAAGACCGAAGACTAAAAATCTTATCTGATCTCTCAACCTAGGAACGTGTTCTCGACGGGCAGAACACGCTCTGTCTTACAATCTAGAATCCTCACCTTAAATATATGCGAACTAATTTGCATTCTGGCGGGAAAACAGATGGAAGAAGTGAGAGTACAGATCCAAAACACAAAATAGTTAATTAACGTAAAGGAGTCTTACACCCTAACTCTATGGAAGCTTTTTTTTATAAATTTAATATTTGACATCTTTAAAGTTTTACTAAACTTTTGCATTCTAAAGCTGTTTTACAACTCTGATGGTTTCATAAACGTTTCATACAAATACTTAATACTCAAAAACCTTTCTAAAAATACATGTTGTCTTTTATGAAAATTTAAACGCGATTTTAACTTTGTATATGAAAAATAACACCTTATGATATTTTCAAAGTTCAGGTATTTGGTGCATTGTTTTAATGTTAGAAATGAAAAAATAAGCTCAAAATAATTTTCGCTTTGGAATTTAAATGATAATGCAGAAATAAAATTTAAAATTTTTGTGGAGAATTTTTAAAATATTGTGTACTGTAAAAGAGCTAAGTTTCTTGAGACAGACGGCTGTAAAAGTTAGCTGGAGAAATTAGCTTTAAATAAATATATGAAATAATTAAAATATAAAAAAATTCTGAATATGTTTAAAAAAAGAGGCATCAAAATCAACAGAACGTTTTTATTGGCGATGTAATTTTATTTTCTATAAAAACTTAAGCTGTATTTCTACTTTAAATTGAAGATACTTAATATTATTAAAAGAAAATACGCTATAATAGTGAAATAAAAATTCATCTTCTTTTAAGAGTGTGTTAGAATGTCACCCTAATAATTAGCTTCGATTATTTGCGTCATAAACGCTTCAAAACAGATTTTTAGAAGAAACGCTCGTATTATTTTAACATTGTTAAGGATCCAAGAATTCTTTGGAAAATATTCTCTTTAATCTCTGTCTGATTTATTTTATAACATACGTAAGTAAAGTAATAAATGAAGATTCATGAAATATTCATATAACTCCAGATATTTTGTTTGTTTTTGACCTATGATACAAAGATGCACTAGGTGTGTATAAATATGTATTAACGCCTATTATTGACTTAAATCAGCATCGAATAGAAGCTTATTAAAATATTTATTTAATATTTTGTAAAATATCTTAAGTAATTTTAATATGTGAATGTTATTTATAAATTTATAATTCCGCACTACATTTTATTTAAAACATACCGATTAAAATAGAAATAATATTTCAGAGATCTTGTTTACAAAAGGAAAAAAAAAAGACGAAAAGGAAATGTGATTATTCTGGGTTATCAAATTTAATGTTAGTGTTTGCAAGCAGAACTGATTGCGAAATAAATATTCTTTCTGCTTAGGGATTGGTTATTTAGCTTATAGCAAATAAACCCTCCAGAGCTATTTGGCTGAGGGAAAGACTGCTTTTTTTTAGGACACTAAGAGCGGTTTCTATTAACGTTACGCATGAGGAAAACCGGAAAAGCTCCAATGCAACCAGCCCGTTCGCTAGGATTTGCCCCCATGCTGAACCAGTGCTCAGTGGTTTCTCCAGACGGCTTCTGATGAGCTTCTTTCTTCTTAAGTGGTTCAAAGATGAAGTACGTTCTGCGAAAATTAATATGCTGTATTCTGATTAAAAATAGACGTTTAAAATTGAGTTTGCACTTTAAAATAAAATTAGTTTAGTTTGATGAAATATTAAGTTGCAAGCTAATGAAAATAAGAAATTATATCCATAACGGAGAGTTTCGAAATAATTCTTGATATTTTCTGGATTTTCAAAAAGTTTCAATTTAGAGAACAGGCTAATTAATAGTAAAGCTAATAAAAATTAAATATAAAATAAAATAAGCCAAAGGTCTGCACTGTTAATTATATTGTAAAATATTTGGCATCTATTGCGCAACTCGTCTTTCCAGTGGCGGGTTAAGATCGCTAAATATAGCTAGTTTAGAACGCTAAAGTTTGACCTAGTTTTGATCCCAGGTGAATGGGCTGGCCGTTTTCGGGAATTTTCTAATGTGTAACGTGAATACAATCCAGTTTGCCTTAGAAAGCACACCAGGAAGGCATTTTCCTCTTAATCAGCTAGCTGTAGTAAACTTTGACATATTCAAATAAGCTAATGATTTACGCGCAACACAATAGTGAGAACTTCTGGAATTTTATATGAAACTGAATGTGGCTTCAGAAATAATAGATTTGAAACGAATTGGTTCTAATACACTTGCTCCCCAAAAAGAATGTAAGAATGTATGTAAAGTTAATATTACATCGGATGACTTTGAATAATATAGAAGAAAATATTTTGGAATTTTTTCTGGAAAAATATCTTGGATTCTTTGACAGTCAATTTAAAAACTGGTTTATTACTTTTCAGGTAAGAATTTCAGCAGTTTTTTTCTTTTTTTTCCTCAGCTGTTCTACTGTGCTTTCCATCGAGTTAAAAAAACTTATTTAGAAAATTACGTATGCATTCTGTATGATATTGTCGCACTATATCCCTGTTTATGGATACTGTTTATCTGTGTGCTATTCCTGTTTCCCTCTACATGTATTCTGTGTTCGTGTTTGATAGGTATCACCAGTTCTGTGTAGAACTACAACAACGATACCGATGAAAAGAAAATTTATATCTTTCTTATTTAACTTTATTTACTACAATCTATATTTAACTCTATATATAAACTCTGCTTTATTTACTACAATCTATATTTTTATATTATCTTCATTCTTTGATCAGTTACATAAATCTTGCAGAAGAAATGTAAAACTAAAGGAATTAAAAAAGGATTACTTTCAGTTCCTTAACACGAATCTTCACAAAACACAGGAAAAGATATTTTTTAGATTGTTAATTCAAGAAGGACATGTGCACCATGGAAAATGACTTCATCAGAGCTCTTAATGAATAGTATACATTATTATATTTAAAAGAAGCATATGCAGATTCCCAATTTTTCTGCTCAGTCTTATGTATTTTCTTTGCCTGTAAGATATGCTTATATTCTTTCGGATAATTCTAGGTTTTTAGTTATGAGATTTCAGACTCTTGCTCTGAATTCTCTGCGAGTTATTGCTTTAATGGTTTAATGAACACTTGTTAGTTGCCAATTTACATTTTTGATTTGCTTGAATCTACATTTTGTGATTACCATTGTATTTAACTCAAACCGATTCTTGGAATTTTTAATTTTATCTTCTTATTACTTTAGAAAACACTGAGCACTCGTTGCAGAAATCATTTATTTGTTTTCACTATTAATTCATTAAATTTTAATTAATTTTTATTACGCTACATAATTCAGTAGATGTTTTCAGAATCAGAAATAAAACTTACACGCTAAAAACTTATATAAATTAAAATAAATAAGTAACAAAACAGAAACTTTTATAGTTCAGATTTAATTTATTTTCACAAACAGACTTTAATTTTTTCCCTTTAGGCAGTTCTTGTAAAATTTGTTTCGTTGCTTTAGCTATTAGTTTTAAACTGATTATTTTATATTGATATTAAAGACTGATATTTACTTGTCTTTAATTCTGATGATTAAGAATTATTATTAATGATTATTAAAAAATACACATAGCACTAATAATGGGAAATAAAAGGTAGAATGGCAGTTTAGATGAGTTCAGATTTGCGGAGTTATATATTTCAAACTTTATTTTATGAAATATACTTACATATCCTTTTCAATTAAGTGCCTGTTATTGAATCGATCAAGTTTTTATATATTCTGCAGTTGACGATTCGTTATTTTTACTTTTTTCACCTCCCCCAGGAATGAATAGAAAACCAATACTTACTCTAATCATTTACTGAAAGAAAGTATTCATTAAATTCCGCCTTCAAATGACTTTGCATCATCTTAGTGAGCTTATTCTCCGAGATCACATTTGCATTCTCGAGAAGAGCCATTTAGAGTTTCAAGATGATCTGAACTTCTCTCCCACGCTAACGAGGTCCCAAATTAATTATATTGCGAACTAATTTTCAATACATGTGGTTAAAAAATTGAAAAAAAAAGTTTTTATAAAATAAGCTTTTATTTAAAACTCACAAAATAATTAATCAACTAGAAGGAAAAAAATAATTTCTCATATAGCTTAACAGAAACAAGAGTTTAAATAACCAAATTCGTTACAAATTCATGACAAAATTCATCTACAGTTTTATATCAAGATTAATAAAAGCGTGCTACTCCTTTTATAATTTTACTATAAAGAAAATAAATTACATTTTTCACAATACATTTCGATTATTCGACTTCGTTATTTAGGCGATTATGATAAATTATTTTTCGTTTTCTAGTTCATTAATTATTTTGTGAGTTTTAAATAAAACTTGTTTTAATAAAACATTTTTATTTTAATCTTTTCCTTTTCAATCATATAATCATTTTTTAACAATAAATAATGATTTTTTATTTCCAACAGTTTTGTTCCGTCATATGATCAAAACCAATACGGCGGTTTACCAAAATATCATAAATTCCTTTAAAAGTTCATATAAACTTCATTTAAAATGTTTTTATCTCTTATCTTTTCGAATGTGCAAAAAATAAGTTTCTGAGATTTTTATTTTGTTTGTGAAACGATTACACATGAGAAAAATCGTTTCAGCATCAAACTAAAAAACTCTACATCGAACTGAAAAAAATCGCTTCACCACATTGCACTGCCATCCGCAAACTGTGTTGTATATAAAATTTTAATTCGATAAATTTTCAGAAAGTCTTCCTACCGATGACAAATTTTTTATCGTAACTACAAACACGAGTGAACTTAATAATAAAAGAGTACAAAAATATCATGTCGTTTCTGATCACGTGATAATAGGAAGAAAAAGCAACTAAATGACATGTGAGCCACTACTCATAGATTGTCTCTGTATCGATAATAACTGATGCATAAAAACAATCAACACCGAATATGAACAGTATAGCAACTGAAACTTCTGCATGTGGCTTCTGAAGCACTTTTGTGTGGCTCGTGGATATATATTTTAGTTATTGTATTTGTTGTAAATAAGGTGTTGCAAAGGTTTTAATATTTCAGTCTTTTTGGAATCTAGTTTACATTATTTTTCTTGCCATTAAAAACGAACACGAATAACACACCAGAACAGAAAAAGTTTCAAGACTTTACTCTTTTTGAAACCAAAGTTTATATTATTTTCCTAACAGTTAAAAACAAATATGTATGGCACATAAAAAAAAGCATAAATGGTGTTATTTAATTTACACTGTTATATAAATTTTATGCAAAAATTTGAACTTACAGATTTTATTAACTTTTACTCCTATTTGTCAAAAAATAAGTACGCTCAGTTACTAATTTTTGCACTAAAAGAAACCGCTTTATTTGGGAATACATTTACACTAAATGAGCCAAAACATTATGACCATCCCTACATTTTTCAATGAACTCGTCTGGATGACGTGGAGGGCATGTGGTTAAGTGGGAATGGTATCTAATTGCTGTTGGAGAAGGTAAGGAATCATTCATGCACTTACTTTTGCAAATGATGATAATAAATTTGATAAAGTAATGGTCCAAAGACTCCGAAAGAGTGAGTATCTCCGAAATTGCAGACTGATAGGTTGTTCACCGTCTGCCCTTGTTAATATTAATGCAAAGTGGATAAATGACGGTGAAACCAGCATGAGACGCCAAGGTGTGGACGTCCACGCATCATCAACGATTAAGCATGTTGGAGACTGTCCCGCTTGGTACAGCAAAATTGGCACCAGACAGTGGCTCAGCTGACAGCCCGATATAGTGCAGGCTCAAATGTAAGTATTTTTCAACACACAGTTCAGCGAACACTGTCGGATATGGAACTGCGCAGCAGACGTCCCACTCGTGTGCCTCTGTGGACCAAGCGCCATTGTCAACTACGCCTACAATGAGCCCTGAACATCAAGTCTGAACCATAGATAGATGGTAGACGGTTGTCTGGTCAGATGAGTCACGTTTTTTTATTCATCACGTCGATGGTCGTATCAAGGTATGTCGTCTTGCAGGTGAACAGTTGCTCTCCCACCTGTAGAACAGGTCATACAGAGGCTGCTGATGGTAGTATTATGCTTCGGGGGACGTTCTCATGAGCGGCTCCGGGACCCTTAGTTGTGATTGAACAAACCATGCAAGCTTCGGACTATCGGAACATAATTGCAGATAAGTTGCATCCTTACATGGTGTCTGTCTTCCCAACTGTAAATGGAATCTTGTAGCAGGATTACGCTCCATGTCAAAATGCTCGAACTGTGTTGGAGTGGTTCGAGGAGCATAAGGATAATTCCAATTAATATTCTGGTCCCATAACCTTGCCGGATCTTAGCCCGATAGAGCACATTTGGGATGTCATGGGGCGGGAGCTCAGAGTTCAAACACCACCATGTCAGAATACTGCGATTTTGCGTGACCGTTGCTTAGACATTTGGTACAACCTGTCTCCAGTCATCTATCAAGGGCCTGTGGCATCCATGCCAAGGCGAGCGAAAGAAATCCATGCTGAGCGAGGCCAAATGTCGCGCAACGCGTTATTGAATAGGTGGACATAATGTTTTAGTTCTTAAGTGTATATATTATATTTAAACATATATACTGTTCTTTTTAACTATTGCAAATTAGTAAGAAAAGAATCCGACTGACCGATGATTATCTATAATCCGTGACGAAGATAAATTTCAGTAATTTCTCTCCAATGCTGCAAAACAACCAGAATCGAAATTCCATTAAGTGCAAAGTTATATTAAAAAATAAATAACTTTATAATTTTTTATAAATGCGAACATATATAATTTTATTTATATGTCGTAGAAAAATTCAATAAATAAGAGAAAGAGATTACATAGTCATTATTTATTCTCAAATTTTTTCCCGCTTCGGAAGTTTTCTCTAAAATTTTAGAAAGTTTTTTATAATTTGTTTGTTTTTAATTTAAATTTAAGTAAGTTGTTTAATGATTAACTAAACATGTCAGAATTATTTGAAATAAATATAAATGTGAAAATGTAATATTTAGCTATCAATATATCTGAATTACAAAGCGCAATGAACCAATGGGCTTTACGGGTGCCAAAATTCAGATTTCAGATAAAAAAATATATATATAAATTTGAATTTTTCCTTTAGATATTGTTACTATTGCTTACGTATGTTTTGATGAATATTTAATAAGAGAAATTAAACTTTATTTTAAATATTTTTTATTAAAAATTAAAAAAATAAAAAAAAAATTCGCTTTTTTGAAAAGAAGTTCTGACTCGTCAGCTGTTTTCAAATCGGGCATTTAGCTCACGTGCAATTTGAGACCACTGAGGTACAATATATAAATAAAAATGTCCCCCTTTTTTTTTTCGTTGCAACTGT